TACATGGTGTTATGGGGGAGAGAGAAGCTAAATGGGGAGAAAGAGGTTTCCCTGCTTTGTATTTGGAGAGGGGCACTCACCCGAGCTTCCCCGGGACCGCCGAGGGGCCCTGCTGTCTTCCAGAGTCACGAGGATCCCCCACGTTACCATAATTGCTGGTTTTAGTAAACTTTTTGTTTTTTTGCAAGAGCGTCAATGCGTTTGCTGCAGAGGACCCAAAAAGGTGTTTTAACTTAGTGAGAGCCCAGCAACTGCCCAGTGCGCTGCACTCGCTCTGCTGGGAACCCCCCTGGAGGGGAAGCTCTGGGTCAGTTTTCAGCACTTTCATCATTCATCGTGTTGTCTAGTAGGGAATATTTTCTTTACAGAGATTTTGCTGAGCAGCCAGAGAAGCTGATGGGCCCGGCTGACACCAAGCCCTGGCCACCCGGCGTCTGAGAGAGGGATCAAACCCGAATTTTGTGTTCAGAAGCCGAAGTTGAATGTCACCTGCCTGCTTTGGAGGAGGAAAGCAACATTTCCTGTTTGCAGAACTGACATTGTTCTTTTAAACAGCACTAAAACTGCAGCACTGAATGTTAAATTACCCTTGCCTGCGAGGTGACGGTTCAAGCGTTGGGGCGGTAGCAATCAGGAGCACGGAAGATGCTTCTACTTGAAATGCAGCTGTAAAAGCACGTAAATCCTGGCAGCACGTTACGCCGCTGGACTGTAAAACGCTGAAAGAGGTGGAGAACGATGACTGACACCGCCAGTTCTGCGCTTGCACAGAAGCGCTTAAATACAGAATCTAAATTTGAGGTTTTCTCCTTTTTTAACTTTTTTAGGCAAGCTGAGGTCTAGCTGTAGGGCTGTAACTTTCAAGGGGCAGCTCAGGAATACACCCAAACTCCTTGCAAAGCTGTCTGGGTGACCCGCTGGGAAAAAAAACCAAACTTTTTCTGCTCTGCTTTGTAGCCAACAGACCTTTTGGAGCTGCAGCCAGGGGAGATGCGCAGCAGGTTTGCTGCTGAGGCCTCTGCAGGCCCGGAGCCACCCGCCGTGACGTTAAAGCATCTTCCCAAGGTGACAAAGCAGCGAGCGAAGAGGAGCTGAGCCCGGGCTCGGTCCGTGCCGCCCGCTGACGGCAGAAGGCCGTTCTGGCACCGTGTGGCTCTCGCGGTGGTGGTGTTTCAGGGCCGTGGCTGGGCAGAATAAATGGCTTTAGAGGTGACAGTTTCCTCAGGTTACCCAGAAACGCAAACAGTATTGGCAACAAAGAAATAAGACACAGTTGTCTTCCTTCAGTTGTTTCTTACTAATGAAGCTCCCTTAGCACGAATCTGAATAATTCTGTGCTTTTTGAGTGTAAAAAGCAGAGAATGGAGATGAAAACCGGTGTTTGTTCGTTTGATGCTTGGCCTGACATCAGGTCCGTGAGAAGACGCTGGCGGCCGGGCAGTACCCGAATCCCTCACCGCGTTTAGATGCGTTTTGCTGTTAAGGTTGTTTATTGTCTGCCGTGACAAAACAGAGGTCAGCCAGGCGGGGAGCCCCAGAACTCATCTGAGGATAGTTTTATGAAAGGGCGTGGATTTGATCCGGTCGGTTCCTTGGGAAGCGCCCGGGGAACCGCGGGCAGCAACCGGGAGGCGGCGGCGGCGCTTAGAGCCCGGGCGGGCGGCGCTAGGACCCAGCGCGAAGCGCCCGGCGGCCCCGCCCGCAGCGTGTGTGGG